TTGTAAAAGAGTAATAGGATGATAATCAGACGTATTATGACAATCGCCAGACTTAAAAATAGTCATAATACAACCTAACTTTCAAGCTTTATGAAAATGTTTATGTATTAATGATTCATTGAATACATAGGTTATAAGTGAAGTAACAAAAATGCTAGTATGTACTCTAGTAGTAGTAGAGTAATGTATGCTAGTATTCCTTTACTCGCGAGTAATATAGTCAGAAGTATTTGACACGGTCTAAGTTATTTTCAATGTCGGCGCGACCTTACCTTTGAAACGTTGTTTGCTTTCACCTAATAATGATTGTAACGGAATTTGATTCAAATTGAATATATCTTCTTTATTGTGAAACAAACTATAATCAATGTCTGCGGCATACTGCGGCTGTGGTTGACGTTTATTTAGTGTTCGCCAAAAATACTCTTCTAAATTTTCAATAGTGTGGGATAAACGATATTTATCACCCTGTGCCAAAGTTTTATATGATTTATAAGTTTTCTTCCTCTTATTCAAAGATAACTTTGTGTTGGTTATCTGATAAATTTTATGTTGCATGTGAACTTGTTCAACTTGTTGCGATAAAATTTCTCGAATTTGGATATCCGATGGTGTCTTTGAAATTGGTAACCATGGTTGTGGAGGTATTATTTTACAACCACCATATTGCATTAAATATGCTTCATTGGAATATATATATGACAGTAAATATTTGAATTCTTCGAAAGATGGTTTTAATGTTGGAGCATCAAATTCATCTAGGTAAATTGAATTATTTGACATATGATGGCTAAATGCTGGAAAAAATTGACTGTAGTAGGAACTATTTATTTTACGTATTAGTTCCAACTTATTCTATTAAACTCTGCTGACTAATTACTACTACTCGCTATGCTATGCGTTTATCGGTTATTAACATAGAAGAGAAGAGTGACATTAAGAAAGAAGGAATTCGATACGCATCAGTAAATTTTACGCTGTTTGCCTATTGTACTATGGATGACTATTACATTATGAGTATCATTAGTCATCTACTATACGAGTCAAAGGCCTTGTGAAAAATTACATGTATCTTTTCTGTGCAGTAACGATACGCTTTAAACGCTTTAACGATATATTTAAGGAGGGGGGGGCGGCGGCAGGTAGAGTTATTTTGTAGACAAACTTTGGTTGTATATAATATGCTTTAAAAAGTTTTCGAGCTACATAGGTTTTTTAAGTGAAACATTGTAAAAAGTGTTTTTTTCTACTTTTAAGCGTAAAGAGTAATTTTGAAAACCTTGCTAGTAATTGTGCGATAACAAAGAATTTCCGAGAACAATTTTCGCTGGCGAAGTTGTAGTTGATGTCATTCTGCATGAAATAAGCGAAATGGAATTTCAAGAAAAAATTTTGAACAGAAGTTAAATGAAAATTAAAACATTTTTAATTTTGAGACTTTTTAATTAATAATTTTTTAAAGTTTTTGTTATTAGAAAAAAAACTGTTCGGCTTCTTCCAAGTAGAATTTCACAGGGAACAAATTTTGTTGCAACAGGTTTTATGAGATATGCTTTGCGTAGTCAGAATCCGTGGGAAGGTCTTGGGGTGCATATCCTTGCAACAAAGACTATCGAAACCCCCCACAATTATTGTCGCAATCAATAAGTTTTAATTGTAACATAGTGGCTAGAAAACTTGTCGCTCGAAAACTTTTTAAAGCATATTATATACAACCAAAGGTTGTCTACAAGATAACTCTACCGCGACGGTGATCGGACATTCTAAGAAAATATAATGAATTATTTTACAATACCATCGAAATCGAAAATTTAGTTAAAATTTAAACTTAATTAATTGATAACTCTGTAAATAGTTACCAATTCATAGATACATTGTCTACCACATGCTGCGGCTGGGACTCATAAATTGAAAATCCTATACAAATATTTTTTTCCGGCAGTCATCCCTAATACAAGAGGTCGTTGCGCAGCATTTATAAACTGTCCTGATAAACTTTATACAAATGTGACAGATATCCGATGAAGCTACGCTGTTTTTCATTTCTTTAGTTTAATTGAATCGATTGATTTACTAAAATTCACTATGGGCGCTTCTTAATTCGGTGTATTTTCGCTTGTGAATATCACTGTCGTCATTAGCAAATGTGTTTATTCTCATGTCAATAGAAACTACGAATATCCTCGTTTTCGAAAAGTATACGCATTTTTAAAGCTTCTTGATTCTTCAGATTATTGTGCATATAGACGTTATGTTCTCATTACATATGTGACAAGAACCTCAATCGTCGATTTGATTGCGTCTTTGTTAAATATAAATATAATAAATATGACGAACAAATGTCATTTTGTAGCGGCCAAGATGTTTGCATGCTCAGTCTGCACTAAAGACAAACGGGATGAAATTGAATGAAGTTTTTTAAGGAACTAACCAGTGAGAAAATAAGCTAACTAAAGTACAACGTGAGCGAATGTGTGTTCTGTCGGATCGCTACCGAACTCGATCAGCGAATGGTTCGCTACCAAAGGTTTAAAAAACTAATTTGTCAAAGCTAAGAACGTGAGAGCGAAAAAGCACATGAAAGAAATCTCTGTGAAACAGAAAGAAGATTTCACCAAACGAAGGAGCAGCCATAATTACGCCGTAGCCATAGGTAGTCATGTAAAGAAAAGTTTGAGTTAGAGCAGCAATATTATGTTTGCTTTAGTCCAGGAAGTTCAAAGTACCTTTAGGTTCCATTATATCTTATTTACTCGCTAACTAAAGCATACTTTTACTAATGTGGCTTCTTTAGCAGATTGATTTACTTTGTTTTCATGCAAAAATGCTTTTCCTCACTTTGCAAATAAATAGACATAAAGCTTATACAGCTTATTATGTAAACAGCTAAAGATGTATAAACGATAAAGTTTCCAACAAAAACAGAAAGGACAAAACGTTTATTAATTGTTCTGTACACATTTATATTTATTTATCATTCACCCACTACTAATTTATAATAGATGCCGCGTTGCTGAATGAGATCTGAATGTTTACCATGTTCAATAATTCGTCTTGATTTCGGATCCATCACACAGATTAAATCACAGTTTTGTATCGTCGATAATCGATGAGCAACAATAATTGTCGTGCGTTTCTGCTGTGCCTGGTCAAGTGCTTGCTGAACTATCTGAAAATCAATTCACATTTTTTGTACATATGTTTCTTTCACACAAAAAATCACTGGTGACAAACAGGCACGATTCGGCTATGCGGAAATTGAACTGGTGAGTGCTATATGGCTCCTTAAATGATATCAGTCGTGCGAAACAGCTGCTGTACTAACTGCTCACAGTGAGCAACAACGTGGACATTAGGTGGAAAAACGAAAGTAAGATTTTTCTAGATTTGAATAGTATCAAAGGTACTTTCGCTAACGACCGATTTACTGGCGTAAAAATTTCTGTTCCAACCTTAAGCTCGTTGAGAAAACCAATTATCAAAAAAACGCTGATTTTCAGCGGCCTCTGAGGAAAAAAAGCATGTAGTAAAGAAAGCACGAGCAAAGCGTGCATGAATTATATATATTCTGAAACTACAACTCATAAGCTATCGATTTATAAAGAAATTTTGTTTTAACCCTTTTTCGTCTGCAAAAATCGACTTTTCTTCTAAGTTGGATGTTTCCCAAACGATAGCTTCGGTAAACTCAGATTGCCAAATTTTGCTAAAGTCCAATTTTGCTGAATTTTTCACGGATCTTTTACCTATATCTCATACAACTATAGGGTTAGCAAAAAGATGCACAAAATCTGCAGGTCGGACTTATAAGTTTTCTAAAAACCCTCGGTTTTTCAGGTTAAAAGTGATTTTCTTCGCTAGAAATTACATTTAACCCAACAAATCATATATGTTTGGAAACAGCATGAAAAACTACATCGAATGATATATAATTCAAAACATTTTTCTACAAAAGCGTTTTCGATCAAACTGAATCGTAGCGAGGGTCTAGAGAACCCATACAAAATATTTTTGGATTTCAAAAACCTCACCACTGGAAAGAGCATATTCGAAAACCTATGAAAAACTTGTTTGTAGACTTTCATACCACTTCTGCAGCATATGTCCACGTGCCCAGCCAAAATTGCCCACTGTGCTGCTATCATCAACTGGCGATGGCCGAAATCAGCTAGTCAAAATTCACCATTTACGGTCGCATAACTAGCGAGGACTATGGGTTTCCCTGGCATTCTTTCCTTTTTTAAGGAGAAGCCTAAGATTGTTTTAAAAACTGTCCAAAAAGTTTGTGCCACTGTAGGTCTAATCGTCTAAATGTCTGTACTGTTTCTGACGGTTATGCTTGTTGATTCAACGAAAAGCAACCCTGTTCTTCATCCGCAGACGAAGTCAGATAGAATTACTCTGCTCCTCGTTAAGTTGTCGATCGATAACACTGAGAAACTCCACATATCGAGCCCCAGTGTGCCATCCATCAGCAGTCTATTTTTTCATAATTTTAATTACATATTCGAAATTAGTTCATCTAGCTGCATTAAGGCATGAGTGACTCAAAAACTTTCCGAAGAAAAGTTTGAGGTGCATGTCGCCCTCAAGCAGTTTTGACGGGAAAAGCTTTTCTCGAACGACCTTGTTCTCGTTACAGTTAATATGTTTGCCTTTGGAAAATCATATTTAGTCTCACCACACATTCAGAGAGCGCTAGAGAAGAAAACAAACCTTTTCGTTTTGAGCATCCATTGCGCTTGTAGCCTCGTCGAGCAACAGTACCTTAGGATCATGGAAAAGGACACGAGCTATAGCAATCCGCTGTTTTTCCCCACCTGACAACTGGGTACCCCTCGCGCCAACATTTGTTTCATAACCCTAAAAGTTCAAGACAGAATTTTAAGTGATCAGCTACGAGGCAGCAAAACAAAATCAGTCAAATGGTGAAAAATAGTTTTCGTTTTAGGTGTCTGAAAAATTTGCATTTACCAGAACAATTTTGAACAAAGAATTCAGTGACCACACTTAAACCTAAAACTATTTTTTCCCTCATTTGATCGGCTTTTCCACGTATGATTGATTTCACACGAACGCTTCTTTAAGTGAAAAAACATCAGTATGTACAATAGTTACTTGGGGCAGTTTTTGAATAAAGTCGTGTATGTTTGCTTTTTTTGCAACATCAATTATTTCTTGAATGTAGACAGATTGTCCAGAATGATTACCATAAGCAATATTTTCTCTAATTGTCAAATCGAACAGAACTGGCTCTTGATTTACCAGTCCGATTTGGGATCTCAACCATTGAATGTTCAAATCACGAATATCGTGACCATCGATTAGCTGCAACAACGAAGTTATTTCGTCAAGCATGAGAATAGCAATGTCTTTACTCACCAAACGACCTTCGGAAACATCATAAAATCGTTCTAAAAGTTGTATGACTGTTGATTTTCCATCTCTGCCTTCATGAATAGCGTAGTTATTTCGTTACTCTATTTTGCGTGTGCCAAATTTTGCGTATAATTAGTGAACAATCTCTACATCCACTTGTACCTAGGAAGTGGAATCAATTTATGATATGTTCACTCTATCTATCTGATCTGACTTTTTCATTACCGACAAGAGCGATTCGTTGACCATTAATAAATGAAAAGAACAGGTAAATAAAAATGAATTTGTTCATGAAATACGTCTTACCTTGTTTGATATTCAATACGAATTTATTTAGAATGGTTATGCTAGGTCTTGTCGGATAAATAAAGTTGACACGATCAAACTCAATTTTACCACCGAAATTTGCCTTGTTTAAAAACAGAAATATATAGAGAAAAAAAAGATATCGCTGTTTTTTACCAATTCTTTTCCATTTCTTGAACAGTTATCGATGAGCGATTTCCGTTCGAATAAGTCAATGAAACTTTGTGCTGCTGATATCGATTGGCCAAATTCTTTTGCCCTAAACCGAATGGATGAAACAGCGATTTCACAACTTCCTTTCCTGTTAGCGACAGATATACTCACATCAAAAAAACAATCTGAACTACCTGAGTGATGAATGTGACGAATGCAACTATCCTTAAAAACAATATTTGTTAATAAGTCGAAAAATATTTCTGCTGTGTATTACATTATTATATTTTCGGATTTGATTTTGTGTTGATCGATAAGCGTAATGGTTACTGTATATACTACTGAAAGAATAAAACATGGTGAAGACACAGCTAAAGCCCATCCAAAGCCAGCAATCCATATGTGTTTTTTAAACAATCTAAATAAAATCAGATAAAAAAATATCAAGATATCAGATAAACCCTTTTTTCAAATCTGTTATACGTTGTACTTAACTGATAACAGACAACGAAGCAAGCAGGCGAAGAAACAAATGGAAGTAAGAGATGTATCACATTCTAGTGGGTTAGTCAACGGCGCAAATGATGTTTTTTGTGTTATCTGTCAACTAATCGTGTTAGCGACAACTACCACCCTCTAGTTATCTCTAATTCGTAGAGGCATATAATGTCTTTCTCATGGGCTTTCACACACGTATACTCTCTTCCTTCCTTTTCAGTTCAGTGACTTATTTTTTCTTCGTTTCTTTGTTTAATGAATTCGTGTCTGCCACGTTTTAGTATAGTCTATATGTTTTTTGTTGTCGATCATCGTCTTGTTATATCTTGT